GTCCAGCTCACGTGGTTGAATCTGCTTACGTTAAAGGCACATTGGATAGATCCCATTATTATACTTCAAAGAATGTCTTATTTACTTCAAAGAATGGTTGCAAGATTTCAACATAAAAATCTGTTTCCTGAGTGTATACATAAATGAGAGCCTGTGTCTGCCCAAAAGATATATACAAGAATGGTCATAAATGCCCAAAACTGGAAATAATTCAAATATCCAACCACAGGAGAAAGGATAAGTAAACTGTGGCCCACTCATACTCTGGAAAACTACACAGCAGTGAAAAAGAATGAACCACAGCTACATACAACATGGGCACATCTCACAGACATGAGAGTGAGCAAAAGACACTGGACACAGAGGAGCTCACTCTGATACAAAGTTCAGAAACAGGCTAAACTAACCAATGGTACTAGAAGCCAGTGATTACCTTTAGAGAGGGAGGATTGACCAGGAGGGGGCACAGGGCAGCCTGCTGGGGGCAGAAAATGTTTTCTGCCATCATTTGGGTCATGGTTACAAGTGTGTTCATATGTGAAATGCATCGTGCTTAGCACCTCGGATTTGCACCTTTTACTGTATGGGAGTTGTACTTCATAAAAAAGGTAATTTAAAAAAACTGTAATTTTAAATTATAACAAATCATTTTTTAAACTGTAATAAATAGAATATAATCAGGTGCTCAGTAAATATTTGCTGAATGAATGAGTGAATGGATGAATGAATGCATAAAGAGCTTTATACCCCACTCCTGAGACCAGCCATGCAGTGTCTCTTTACATCTGTAAGCCTCAGCTTTCTTATGCAAAAGAATTGGGCTTAGAATTGTCAATGTGCAAGGTCTCTGTCCAGATCAAAAGGACATTTAGAGGGGTGTCTTTCTTCACCAAGTCTTGTGTGTGCTGTAAATTCTGGGGACCTCAGACACCCACCCCCATCTCCCTTTGACCAGGACCTTCAGAGGCCCAGTTAAAAGGTGGCTTCCCAGAGAGTGAGATCACACTACGAAGCCAGGTCCAGGAGCACTGAGGCTTCAGCCATGCACACAGAAGGCCTATTGATACCCTCCTCAAACTCCCCAGAGCCACAGCCAAGATGAAGCTGGACCCAATTACTCATCAGCCCTGCCTTGACACTCGATGCCCAGTGCAGAGGCCAGGGCTGCTGGGAGGGCAGCTGGAGGTGCCAGGCTCCCAGGGGCACTTGGACAGGGATTTTCCACTGGCTCCAAGCCCAGGGGCCTGACTCGAGGAGGCTGCAAGACAGTGTGGTCCCACTGAGCAAGGACAGAGCAAGGCCTGGGGCAGACTCCTGATATCCACCAAGCACAGTCGGCTCATTGGACAGAGAGGCCTCCAGGGGCTACAGTGTTCAGGCTGGGGCAGCGCAAAGCCAGCAGCCAGTGGATGATGCGCCTCCCCCTCCGCACCCTCTGAGCATCACCCCAGGAACAGCAAGGCACAGGCAGCACCGATGATCGGAAAGGGACCGGCCCAAGAATCCACACCTTGACATTCTCCTCTGTGAGGCCCTTCTCCACCAAGTCTGCCACATTCTGCCGGATGCGATGCAGGAACGCCTGGAGGAGAGAAGCGGGGAGAGGTGAGTATCCACGCCTCTGATCCTCCCCAGTATGGCCCTGCAAAAGGGTCACAAGTTCAAACACCAACTAGGACCTGGGAGGTACCACAGTCCAAGGACACAGGTAGGGAACAAGAAAAAAGTGACGCTGCCCATACATTAAACATACTGGACTATCCCTCACTCCCATGCAGTCACCAGGTGTTTACTGAGCATCTACTACGTGGGGCCCTGAAGATACAACAGAGACCAACACAAAGCCCCTGCCCTCGAGGAACCTACCGCCCAAAGAGACAGACCCACACCTGCTTCATCCCCCACGGGTCCCTCTTGGGCTACAATTCACTTCCCCTTTTTAATTTTTTTCTTTTTTTTTTTTACAATTTAACTTCTAAACAATGTCACATTCAACATGGCTCAAAAGTCAAACATATAAAGTGTTAAAAACACACACAGTCTCTCTCCTACACTGCACCCCCATTCACCTAGTTTCTTAGGTATTCTTCCAGAGAATCCTTATGCAAAAACAAATGCATGTGCGTGCACATGCACGCACGCACACACACACACACACACTCCTATTCTTATTTCTTCCTCTTATACATAACAAAAAATAGCAACGTATACAAAACACCCTGCACCTACTTTTCCCACTTAATGTGGCTTGGGGATCTTTCCATATCATTACAAGACACTCCTATTCTTATTTCTTCCTCTTATACATAACAAAAAATAGCAACGTATACAGAACACCCTGCACCTACTTTTCCCACTTAATGTGGCTTGGGGATCTTTCCATATCATTACAAGAGGAGCCTCCTCATTCCTTCTGACAGCTGCCCAGGATCCTCCTCTATGAATGGACCGCAGTCCTTCTGCCACTCTTTTCAGGGGCTTGGAACAGAGAAATCATTTCTTTCTTCTGTGAGATGCGACAGATGAGTGTGACTATGACAGGGCGGGAGAAGTGGGGACTGTGGGGAACCGGCCAGCACACGCCCATTTCAGGGGGGCGGCCGCCCATCCCCTCCAAGTGGGGCCAGGTGGGAAGGCAGCAGGCCCAGTATTACCAGATGTTCTAATTTTTTTTTTAATGAAGCCAGAAACGAGAATTTTTTAAGCAAAGTCTTCCAGTTTTCAAGTGCTGGTGAAAGAGCCCTCTGTTACTGTGGGGAACTGGATTTTAGGGGTTGAACATAAAAGTGGGGAGAACAGAGCTGAGGGGTGCCGTCGTGCAGACGAGAGATGACAGTGGCCTGGCCCTGGTGTGGTGTGGGTGGGACAGAGTGGGCAGAAGGAGGAGCTACTAAGGATGGGCCAAGGGGACAGAATGAATGAGGGAGAGAAAGATCAGAGTTGGCACCTAAAGGAAACCAAGGCCAGTCGTCTACAGCAACCTCTCCCTGGTTTGCCCCAACTCCAGGACATGGGGCCTGACCCCTGGTTAACCTGGCAACAGGGACATGGAGACTCCTAGGGAAAGGAATTCATGGTCCTGTCACAGCCACAGAGCCATAATGAGCCGTGGTGGCCTGTCAGTCACCCACCCTGCCAAGACTGATTACAGGATGGGGGTCCAGAGTGGGGGAAGCCCCGGAAGAGCACATGGTCTCCCTGTCACAGAGCCCAGCTGCGGTTAATTCAGTGTGTTTCATCCAACCACGCTTGTCTGGGGAGATCTCTGAGTGCCAGGAAGATGGAAGGACAGCCCAAGATAGCACTGGGGTCAGGGCAAGCAGGCGCAGGCAGGCAGAGAGCAGGCTGGCCCTCCACAGACAGCTGTCGGATCCTTTCCCATCACCTGGCGAGACGTCCATGGCTGCCACTGGAAGCCCGGCCACCTGCCCAGACTCAAGTCTCTTAGGAGGGGGTGTGCTGGCATTCCACATGGCAGGTCACAGGGAAGGAAGCAAGGGACACAGAGGAAGGCAGCCATGTCTCTGTCCACACTCATGGCAAGGCAATTTCGGCCAGCCTCAGGCCTTTAAATTCCATCTTCTTGTTGACAACCTCCAAGTTTATATCTCCAGCTGGACTTCTCCCCTGAAACCCAGATTCATATTTCTAGCTGCCGACTCAGTACCTCCACCTGGATGTCCAAGGGGCACCTCAAATTTAACGTGTCCAAAGCCTAATTTCTGATCCTCTCCAGGCCCACACCACCCAAGCTCTTCCCACCTGATCATGGCACCTCTGCCTCCCAGGAGCTCCAGCCAGAACCCCAGGTCATCCTCGATTTCTCTCTTCCTCTGACATTTCATTCCCAATCCATCAGCACAGGCTATCAGCTTCACCTGAAAAACACAACTACGTCTCCACAACTCTATGGCCACCCCCAGTCTAGGCCACCATCATCTCCTGCCTAGACTAATGCAGGTATCTCCTGCCTGGTCCCCACACCCTCCCAAAAGTCTATTCCTTACACACACAGCCAGAGGGATCCTTTTCAATATGTAAATCAAGTCCTGTCAATCCACAGCTTAAAATTCTCCATGGCTTCCCACAGCCCTTTTTCAAAAACATCCACACACAGCCAGAGGGATCCTTTTCAATATGTAAATCATGTCCTGTCAATCCACAGCTTAAAATTCTCCATGGCTTCCCACAGCCCTTTTTCAAAAACATCCAAATTCTTCCCTGTCCCATAAGGCCTCCATGACCTTGTCTTTGTTAACCTCTCTGACCTCACCTTCCAGCACTCCATCCCCTCCACACCTCAACAATACTCAGCCACACCCTCATTCTAGATTCCTTCCACCTGCCAAATACATTCCTGCCTGAGGACTTTTGTATAAGCTGTTCCTGCTAGCAGGATATTCTTCCCAGTTCCACCCTGGGCAGGCTCCTTCTCATCCATCAGGCCTAACCTCAAAGGTCACCTCCTCCAAGAGACCCTCCTTGTCTTCATGCACTTACCAACTTCCCATCTCATATTATGAGCCCATTTGACAGATGAGAAAACTGAGATTAAGCAATCTACACTAGCTCCTAAGGAAAAGGCCAAGATAAAAAGAGAGCATGGCAGGGATGAAAACTTACCCTCCAATCAAACTACAGAGGTCAAGTTTAGAAACTGGTAGGTTTGGGCTTAAACCATAGATCTTCCTCGTTCCTGCTGTGTGACCTCAGGAAAGTGCACTACCCTCTCTGAGTCTTAGTTTACTCTTCCCAAATATGGGGATCACAGTACTACTGTGCCTACCTTTCACAATGTACTAGGATAAAGTGAATGGCAACTCCACGAAGGCAGGGACCTTGCCTCCACAGCTATATCTTCCGGTCTAAGAGTAGTGCCTGGCATCCAGGAGGCACTTAAACGTCAAAGGAAGGTATGGAATGTGTCTGGCACAGTGTCCAACACATTGTGGGAGCCTCAACTCGGGCCCTTGGAAGTCTGTTGATCCTGCTTTTGAAAGGACAATGGGAGGGGACAGGGGACAGGAGTTCCTAGAGGATATTTTAACAGAGCCTGGGATACTGACAGGAAGTCAAGTCTCCAGCCTTTCCAGACTGGAGGGAGACAAAGGCAGCCTCACCCAGCCTTGCCTGGGGAGGGCAGGAAGCTGGGAGTACCACTCGGCTGGCCTAGATCAGAGCTTCCTGTCCTGGTTTCTTCACACGAGCTCAGCCACCTCTATTGTGCTGCGACAATGGGAGGCTCAGGCCACCCACGGAGGAGCTGCACACAAGACGGCGCAATGAGCACAATGCACAGCTCGTGACCTGGAAAGAATGGGCAGGCAGGGGCTCTGGGCCCAGCCCTGGGCTGCCTAAGCACGATTGCCTTTTCCAGGCGGCACCAATGTCCTCTGCACCAGCAGGGGTAGTTAAAGGGACCCTCCAGGGTGACTCTTTGTCTAAGGCTTAACAGCTCTGGAGCAGTCAGGTCACAGCCGCTGTCATCTTGCAACCTTCCCTTAGACTTTCTCAGGATTTCCAGGGCCACCTGAGAAACTCCCCCAGTCTTGAAACCTTTGTCCATGCCACAGCCACTTGCGCCACATCTGCCCAAGTCCCCCTCTTCTATTTATAATGATGATGATGAAATACGTCAAGGATACAGGAAAGGATAGCAAAAAATATAACAAACACCCAGAGACTCATCACTGCTCAGCTTTGGCAAATCTTAACATTGTGCCAAATTTGCTTGAAAACATTTGCAAAAGAAATGCATCGAGTCTGGGGGAGGTGCTGACTGGTAAGGGGCACAGGGGGCCTTCGAGGGAGTACTGGAAGCATTCTGTATCCTGACCTGAGGCGTGGTTCCACAGGTGACTGTGCAGGTGAAGCCCCAACTGTGTGCACATTGATGAGTTCACTTGTACCCACGTAAAGACGTCAACATAGAAATGGGAAGAAAGAAGCTGCTCCAGAGAAAGGGGAACCTGCACGCCTTCCCTCCCTGCAAGCCACCCTCCACCCTGGCCTTGGTGCTCCGTGTTCTCACGCGTGCCTCTGCCCCTCACCATGCTCGTGTGCACCCATAAGCATGGAAACACTGTCCTGCATGTTCACAGCATTCCTATAAATGATGTGCTTTCAGCAATTTACTTTTCTCACTCATCACGTTTTCCACACTTACCCATGTCGATGCCTACAACAGGCAGCACCTGTCAGCTGGACCCCACGCTTACCCCATGCCCCCTTCCA